AATTAATTCTACCTGGCAGCGTCTCTCTACTAGTAGTGAAGCTGTGGGATTTAGTTAAGAAATATATGCTTGAACTTTTCAGTTTCAAAGCTATTTTATTGAGAGATCACAGAACAGTGTTGACAATACATGTCCGCGCTGAATGATTCTGTGTGCACGCATTCTGTGCGTGATGTACGAGCTACTGTCTGTAATGTGTGTGCAATACAGTGCAGCAGCGCATTAGATTAGGTGATTAACTTACCTGTACAATAAGCTGTTTAAAACGTGCATTCTCCTGTTCAATTTCGAGCATCCAGTAATATAATCACACATGTCTTGTGGAGCGCTTTCAGAGTATGCATTTATTTGTCATTTTAACTGTTTGGAAACAGAGCGTAAATGTGGAAGTCCTTCAAAGATTTCTTATCCTGTTGTGCCCTCTATAGGACCAGCGACTAGTCGACGTCAAGCTTAAAGCGTCATGGCAGAGCATTGAAGTCGACTAGTCGGTGCAACCCCTAATATATATATATAATTTCTGAATCGTAATAATATTTCACAATATTACTGTTTTTTCCTGAAACAAACAAATAAATACAGCCTTGGTCATCTTAAGAAACGTTCAGTAAAAATTGCACCAACCTTCCAAATGGTATTGTATATTTACAGTTGACTGTGCAGTTTGTCATAGTTTTTTTTCACCAAGCTTGTCGTTTGAATTCTGGGATTGTCTTATCCACAAAAGACAACATGTGATGCTGTCTTAGAATTTGGCCAAAACAAGGTACCTTATAATGAAACACACTGTTGCTGCCTAATTTTTTTAATTGAATCTGTACCTATAAAGCTTTTAAATGCTGTCTATGTAAGTAGCTCACAAGGTTTTGGAACAGAAAAGGTGGCATTCATAAGGTGTAAGATAACAGGGCATCTTTTAAAGCAGAGATGAGCGATTTGTCGACTGAAGGTTTGAGTATCTCACCTCAGCATGAACAGAGATAATGCTGACCAAAGCCTCCTTCAAGTAACTCCTCGCACCTGAGTCAGAAAGAGAGAATGGGAATAAGAAAAGGTAGATCAATGAGTCATGTTCTTGCTTTTTTTAAGGTTCAAGAAAGTTTAAACGGGGGTAAGGAACCATCTGAAGATGAGAGGAAAATCTTATCAGCTTCTCTTCACAAGTGTGACATGGTTTTGCCTAGTTGTCAGAAATTTGATTAAGTCTAAAATGTCCTCCTCCATACTGAGGTCAAGCAAAATAATCCCCTTTAACATATTTCAAAGTTTTACATTTTTATAATGTTTACAGTATGTTTATTTATTTTCTTTGCACTGTTAAAGTAATCACTTCTTATTCCTCTATGCGTGTGACATCCACATTTATAAGTCCCTCTAGTATTTAAATAATAATATAAATATCATATGATTTTTAAGGAGCAATTAAAAGAACCAATCTTATATTATTTTTCCAGTACAAAAATATTTGCTCTGTAAGATTTTATATTCTGAATCTATACCATTATAATTCTTATTTCAAAGAGATTATTTCACTACAGTTCAAAAGTTTAGGGTGAGCAAGATTCTTTTACTATTTTGGAGAGGTTCATTTATTTGATACAGAAAAACATTCATATTGTGAAATACGAATACAATTCAAAGCAACTGTGTTCTATTTTAATATACTTTAAAGTGTCATTTATTCCTGTGATGGAAAAGCTGTATTTTCAGCATCATTACTCCAGTCTTCAGTGTCACATGATCCTTCAGAAATCATTCTAATATGCTGATTTGGGGCTCAAGAAACATTTCTTATAGATATCAATGTTGAAAATGTCGAAATATTTTGTGGAAACCATAATACTTTTTTCCAGGATTCTTTGATAAAATTCTTTGATTCTTTGATAAAATATTTGAAACAAAACTTTTGAACAGTAGTGTACATTCTTGTGTAATAACATTAGCTTGTCTGTTCTGGAGCTAAAGATAATGATTTTTCAAACTGACTGGGAGCTAAATCAGAGCAGTGGTGAAGTGTAGTGGGTTGGTTTTACACAGTTCAACAAGTTCTTCTTATAATGTCTCAGAAGCAGGAAAAGTTCTTGCAAGTTCACAAATGATTCACATAACCAATTGCATTTAGTCAAGTATGCACCAACAGACCCAATCCTACTAAATACACACATACACACACACACACACACACACACACTCTCTCTCTACCATGACTGAAACTGATATAAAAGCGATGATGGCAGACTGAAACCACAGAATCAAGACTAGCAAAAGTGTTTGTGGAACTTTCTCTATTAGTACCATCTCCAGGGTGATGGTGTTTCAAACAGACAAAGTCTTCTAGAAACATCCACAGAGTGTTGTCAACATACAGGTTACATGATTGAGGTGTGTGTTACCTGTAGGTGGCAGGCAGTCCTTCCAATCAAAGTATCCTGCATAGATGCCAGGCTCCAGAGAGCCGACGATAGGATCAGATTTTTTCTCGACGTACGTCTCAAACAGATATTCATCCAGCTGTCTCAGCGCCTCTATGCTGACCTGAAGAACATGAGCATGCATTCAGTTTAATCACAAACCGCTGATCATACAAAAAGTGCATGTGACCTTAAGAAACCATTAACATCACACACGATCAGCGCTCATCACACACTTTGTTGCAGAATGAGTAAAGACCACTCATGCATGTCCATCATTCTGATGTGGGTTGAACTTTAGGGAAGTCCTCAAAAACCAGAATGGAAAGCACCATCTCAAAAGGGGACAAAATCTCTGGGAACTCAGTAAAAAAACAGAGATGGACATCTGTCCTGACAGATGAGTGTCAATCTTCTCTGAGAAGTAGTCCAAATGTTGTTAATGATTTTTAACTAGACTTTGGCATATTTTGAAGAAAATATAAAAACCTTGTCCATGCAAAACACCTGCAGTTTGTGCATGGTTGCAAGATTGTTGTTATTTGGTGTTCTGAGTGTTCTGTTGTGTTGCTATGCACAATTTTATTGCACAAATAAGCTCATCCCTTAGGATATTCTGATTCCTGAAATTTGCTCCTTTTAAAGGTCCACCAGTCCAAACCATTCATAAATAACACAGTTCTTCTTAAGCTGATTTAATCTTATGTGTATGCTTTTATGTGTAAGTATTTTTGTCTTATTTTCCAGTACAAACATATTTAATACAGTCACTTGAGAAGCAAAATGACATAAGATAACAAGCCTTGTTTTCTGAAAAATGTATCAAAATTAAGTAACTTTACACTTAAAACATGAAAAAAGTCTGCCAATAGGGTAAGAAAAATAAACTTTATTTTAATTTAATTAAAATTATTAAATAATTTAAAGTAATTAAAGTTTATTTTTCTTACCCCATTTGCAGATATTTTGCAGATTTTCCCCTTGATTTTGATACATTTTTCAGAAAAACAAGATGTAATATCTTAAGTAATCTTGTATCTAAATGTATTAAGTACATGTACAAATGTATGACGTAAATGTATGTTGATTTAAGAATGTTTACATATTTGCACTGGACAACAAGACAAAATACTGGGGGGAAAAACATTTTTTTTCAGTTTGGCACAAATATAAAGAAATTTAATACTAAATTCTAAAGCTGTGGCTTAAAAATCAGCAATTAAATCAGGGCCGGTTCTCTGAGCTGCTGGTTTCTAGTAGGTGGATCAACCGCCGTGTCCAACTCTATCAGGCAGATCCCTTTCTGCACTCTCATTGGTAGCTGCTGCTCTGCTTCACTACATATTTGCATAAAGTTAAGCTCTGCTAACGGTCACTGTCAGTGTAAACCTCATTTTAAAGTAAAGGCTTTGTTCAAATCCTTTATCATAATTAACAATAGTGATGCAGCTCTAAATCACTTTGAAAACTACTTTAATAATCAATGTTTTTTCTTGTCTGTACTAAGATAAATATGTCAGAATCACTTTATGATCTTGTAATAAACCTCTCCTGTAAGTTATCAAGCTCTTATTCGGAGTTAAATCTCTCTGAAAGGTGCAATGCAGAGTGTGCTCTCATTGCACTTCAATGATCTACACAAACCCTTTGAGCCCATCCCAATGATTCACTACGATCTGCATCAAAACCATCTGCATTTACTGGAAAGGCCAACCATAACCTTTCGTGAGGGCTTCACCCTCTCCTCTGCACGGCGCAAAAGCCACTTAGGGTGAGTGTGTTGCAATGCCACTATGAAAAACCCTTGAGCTTCTCCTCAATCTAAGTGAGTCATTCTCACTTCAGTGAAAGATACATAAATTGGAAACACATGTGTTATCACTTAGAAAAAAGAAAATGCCAACTGTGGACTGGAGTAAAAGGGAAGTGTGCATGTGTTTGTGTACCCTGACGATCTTCTCTGCAGTGGTGAAGCCGTTCTTCTCCAGGTGCTCAGCCAAACTGAGAAACGTGTGTCTCTCCAGATACTGACAGTTACTCAGGATGATGAGGAGACGTTGCTCCTACATGGGCCAGAACAAACACACACAGCAACTGTTACAATGAACATACTGTATATAAAGAGATTTTTGCATTAAGTTGTATTAGAATGATTTCTGAAGGATCGTGTGACACTTAAGACTGGAGCTTTGCAATCACAGGAATAAATAACATTTTTGAAAAATATTTGAAAAATATAAAACAAGTTATTTTAAATTGCAATAACATTTCATGATATGACCGTTTTTACTGTATTTATGATCCAATAAATGCAGCCTCGGTGAGCATGAGACATTTAAAAAAATCCTACTAACCCCTTACTTGTACATATATATACACACATGAACAAGAAATGGTCTGAGAGTGTGTGAATCAATACTATTATAGATATGATTGGGTATGTTTGTGACTTTACTTAACCATAAACCAGTCTGTGAAGGAGAGTGAGAGTAAAATAGAGAAAAAGAGAGAGATAGAGGGGAAAACTGCAGCTCTTCCACTGCAGACTAGGGGAAACCCCATGTGAGCTGCTGCTGCATTGTGCTCTCTGAAGAGAAAGCTGCTGTTTTTCACAACACATGACTGTTGTGCATGATGTTTGAATGTTTGCTGTGTTGCAGATGGAAACTGTGACAAAGGCATCCCTAACGGAACACAGGATGTTTTCTCAGGAAAAGGTTCTTTAGAATTAATAACACAAACAAAAAATACAGTGGCCCCACAAGGCATTTGAATTATTATTTTTTTTTGCACTTTATGATTAAATATTAAACCAAATGGCATTTATTTTAAATATAGTGCAAATATTTTAACCAAAATGTCACATTTCAAATTACAAGGCAACATCATATATACAGTTCAACATCTGCACAAAAAATATTTGCGTACTTTCTGGTTGCCAAATGTTAGTGGAACATGTACATGGTTGATGTGATGAAGTACACCTGTGGCTGCTCTGCTAGGACACCTGTGCAATCGTAAGGGAAGTGACTTCTCATGGACACTAAAAATCCCCCTTCATGACCAGTTAGTTGCAAAAATAATTGCTATCATATAAAGAATTGTCTCAAAACAACTGAAGTTTGTTCTTAGATGATGTCTGGCATTTTAATGCATATTTATTTTGATATTTTGTATCTAAAGTAAAGTAATTAGGCCAATTTTAAATCTAACTTAAGCATCAGGAAGGGACCAAATATGCTTTGGGGTTACTGTAAACTCTATTTGTGTGGTTTAAACTTTTACTCAAGCATATGTGCACACACACAGCATTACTGAATAAGCACAAAAGAAGGGATTAAATGAAGGGAGGAAGCACTTCAAGGTTACTTGAGGTCTGTGAATATCTTCAATCAACAAGGTTTCATTTTGATAATTTTTAAACCCATGGCCTCGTTACCTGGTTTCTCTCTCTCTTTTTCTCAGTCTTTTCATCTATAAGGTTTTCAGCTTTCAGTAATACTATGACTCTAGTTCCGATACTACACATCGACACAGTGCTATTTGGATTTCAGTCAGTGACTAATCGTTTAAAATAAGGTGAGGAGCTGAACATGTCAGAGCAGCATGAAGGCAGCTGTTATCTACACTCACTTCCTATTCTCCGTACTCAAATATCCTGTCACATACAGTGACATCCACCTCTGCAGTTTACTGTGAATAAAATACCACATAGGGCTACTTGATGTAGTAACCAGTCCACACATACTGCATTTTATTTATGTGGCCATTTTCTGACATTTATATTGACAGTGAAAGTGTATTATCAAAAAAAGTGAAGAGGGAGGAATGTAATGAGTACTCAAGTCAGATTCAAACCTGTTTCTCCATACGAGCACCACAGCTTGATGTGCTAACTGCTAGGCCAGGTCACCATTAATTTTTATTTTATATGAATACTGAAATTACCTGTATGTATTTTATAGAACAGTATTTTTTAAAATATGCATTATTAGTGTGAATAGAGAGAAAGACAAGATGGACACGGACAAAGTTGGAAATCAGGAGAGGAGGGGAAAAATGGCCTTACTGGTTTTGAACTGAAGTCTTCTTGGATGCTTCCAAAAAGATCAGGTGAGGCCAAGTCCACAGACAAACTGAAAGAGAAAGACCTTGATATTATACTACCACTGTAAACGTCTGAATACTTTCCGTACCCACTGTATGTATATATATATATATATATATATATATATAACATGACACATTTTTGTCTGGATCCGAATATTTCAAAAATACAAAAATTTAAATTTAGTTCATACAGACAATGGGCCAGATTTACTATCATCTTGCGCCAGCGCAAACCTAATTTGGCTTTAAATAACTACTGTCAGGATTTACTAAAGACACGCAGTGGGAAATTAGCGTTGAAAAAGCATGGACAGAGTAATTTTTGTGACTCACCTTATTGAATATGCATTTGTAGGAGTTTCCCTTTCGATCAGTAAATTTATGGGAGTAAAGTATTTAAATTAATCATGCAATGAGATTTACTAAGATTTGCGCTCGTCAATAACTGCGGCATTATTTAACGCCCAAAAAAAGCATGTCTTAAAGCAGGCGGTAATTTGCGCTGCTCTTGGTAGATTGCGCTGGTCATTATGGAAATGAGATGTTGCATCAGTGTTCTTTAATGTGTACCTTAGTAAATTCAGTAAATCACCCGCAAAATTTTCCCCTCCCATTGGCGCTTTTATGGAATTGCGCTCTAACGATAATTTGCCCCGTTTAGTAACTCTGGTACAATGACTTTAAAAAAATATAAAAAAACCCCAACTATTTTTTCAATGCCTGAATAATATATATAATACACAGTTGTCTTCATAAGTTTACATATCCCTTGCAGAATATGGAAAATGTTAATTATTTTAACCAGTTGTGGCTGTGTACGAGTCCCTCAGTTGTCCTCAGTGTGAAAATATGGTGCATATGAGTCCTTCAGTTGTCCTCAGTGTGAAAAGATGGATCTCAAAATCATATAGTCACTTTTGGAAAGGGTTCAAATATGCAGAAGATGCTGGAAAACCAAAGAATGTGAAGAAGCTGGAGGATTTTTCTGAAGAACAGCAGGCAGTTAAACTGCTCAGGATCAACAAGGGACTCATGAACAACTATCACAAAATATAAAAACAGTCCTGGATCATCCAAGAAATGACACACAGTACTAAGATTCAAGGGTATGTAAACTTTTGAATGGGGTAATTTTTATAAATTCAGTTATTATTTGGTCTTGTGGAGTATATGTAAACATCTGTTATGTGAAATAGCTCATTCAGGACAGTACTAAATAAAAAATAACATGCAATTTTCATGATCACTCTTATTTTGTTTCAATTATTAACATTTTGCATATTCTGCAAGGGGTATGTAAACTTATG